ATACAAATGTAACAGAAGATGGTAGTTGACCAAAAGGTCGACATAAGGCCCTAGATTCATTGAGAGCCTTTTTTGTTCTTTACGAAAGTCCTTTTTCCAGTTCGCAAAAATATAGAGACTTTTTCGATCGATCTGCGAAAGATAGATATGTGAAAACGGAAGACTTCTGGGATATGACTCCCGCGAAAGTTAAACATGGCGTTCGCGAAAGTGAACACTTTTTTTCGCGAAGAATTGTGTTTTCGTAAAAAGGAAGATCAACCACCATACTGACCATACTGTATCACTTTATGCACATTCCTCTAGAAACGGAGCAATGTACTGCATTCGTTGTCAGGTCACCAGCACCGATCTTCCGTGGCGTTAAGGCACAGGTGCGCTGGCAACATTTCTTGGATCCCGGTCAACTCCTAAACCGTAAAGCACTCATCTCCCCTTCAGCGATATCTCCTTCGGTTTTGTGTTTTGCCTTGGGAAAAGTGACTACCAACGGCAAGATGAAATTATGTGCATTTTCTAGAATATAGAACGCATCTGGAGATTATATAATATATGCCCCCAGTATTTCTTGTTGATGCTCGCAATGGGGACTTGGAGTTTTGAGAGTTGGACCCCCGGGAACAGAAAGTGCTCCCACACACCCGCCTTATATAATTGACTGCAATAGTTTCATTTGCTTTCGGCATCAGTTGTGTAGTCCGGGAGTGATACTCTCCTACCTGCAGATTCTATTGAAATGTGGCTCTTCAGGCGTCCTTCTCATATATAGCGATGGCCTCCAACCTACTACCGCTGGCCTCCAACCTATAGCGATGGCCTCCAACCTACTACCGCTGGCCTCCACCTATCAGCGATGGCTTCCAACCTAGTAGCAATGGCCTCTCAGGCCTCCACCTAGTAGCAGTGGCCTCCAACCTAATAGCGATGGCCTCCCCTGGTAGCGATGGCCTCCAATCCAGTAGCAATGGCCTCCAACCTAGTAACGATGGCCTCCAACCTAATAGCGATGGCCTCCAACCTATAGTAGCAATGGCCTCCACCCTAATAGCGATGGCCTCCAACCTAGTATAATAGCGGTGGCCTCCACCTAGTAGCGATGGCTTTCACCTAGTAGCAATTGCCTCCAACCCAATAGCGATGGCCTCCAACCTAGTAGCAATGGCCTCCAACCTAGTGGCCATGGCCTCCAACCTAATAGCGATGGCCTCCAACCTAGTAGCAATGATCTCCACCTATTAGCGATGGCTTCCAACCTAGCAGCAATGGCCTCCAAGGCCTCTACCTGTTAGCGATGGCCTCTAACCTAGTAGCGATGGCCTCCAACCTAATAGCGATGGCCTCCAACCTAGTAGCAATGGCCTCCTCCTAATAGCGATGGCAGCTTAACTGTTCTTCCTAGGTTCATGACATGTTCAATTGAAAGCATCAAGGCTGATCGTTGCTTTGCACCTTGAACTCCTTTGGGGAAATCCAAATTGGCAGACTGTGACCGTGCTGGCTTTTGTCATAGGCGACTCTAGAACCTGAAGGAGTGGCAGAAGTTGAAGCCAGTCTTGTGGAGGTCTGCACTTTTTGCACTGCTCTTGCAGCCTCAGTTGTTTTAGCTAAATTAGCATATCTTGAGATTGTGAAGGTTTCTGCTTGCGTCATGGCTCAGCCCAATAATGCGCAGATGGCTGCAGATGCGATTCAGGAAGATCTGCCAAAGTCTCCTCGCATGGCTCAACGTCTGACTTCTCAAAACGCCGGAGAGCCACAGGCGCGATGCAGGCCTTATAGCCACCAAATACATCGAATATATAACTATAGTGACAGAATGTTTGGCCCCTTTAAGGAGGTCACCAGTTTGGTTTCCAGAGGTCCCAACACCATTTTAGCGCCTTCTTGCCTGGCATGAATTTCACTCCGGGATTTCTGATGCTGAGCGACTGTCCTTCAGTTTGAGTTCGCCGGCAACTACAGAAAACATTTGCTTGTCTTGCTGACCAAGGAGGAACCGGGCAACACACCACTAACAGAGCAAGCTCACGTTGTGAGCTTTGTCCGGTCTGCAAGCAACAAGGAGGACGTGCCGTGGCTGCATATGGGTTTGTATTTTTTTTGGCGTGTACTTCCTGATATAGTGGTTGGAAGTTCGACTTGAGCGATTCATACCCTCGAATCATACCTCGAATCATACCCCCGAATCATACCCCTCAAAACGTTACACGTAAGAACCAGGTGTTAAGGTGAAGTTTTTGGTTGGTCTTTGTGCCTTGTAGATGTCCATGAGCCAATGGTGCATGACGTTTGCAATTGTGTGACCCATGGGCACTCAATTTGGCCAAAATTGTTTGTGTCTTCTCGTGGGAAGAGCAAAGGCTCACATCCCAGGGGTACGAGCCAAAGGACCGCCCTCTTTTGCAGAATCTAATGGCCATACGAATCACACCCGATTCATGCCCGATTCATACCCGAATCACGCACCTCCACACAGTCTCCCACCCATCCCACATCCTGGTTGTTTTGGTGGGGCCTGCAAGGGCCACTGGAGTCTTTGGTGGAAGAGTGCATTTGCCTAGTCTGCCCAGCATCCAACAGATTCTGCTTGCCTACTGCCTCGGCGCAGAGTGGGCCCACTGCTGGAAGTCCAGCTAATCCAACAATATAACTTCAAAGCTGCGAATCATCTGCGAATCATACCCTCGAATCATACCCGCGAATCATACCCCGAATCATACCCTCGAATCATACCACCTATTCAAACTTCCCGGCCCGACTAAGGTAAAAACATACACACCCATATTCTTTCCCATCTTGGGTGCTTTAGGCATGAGCAGCGCATATTTTTGTTGGTTATAGTTCTCGTGTTATGATGCCATGTAGCGGTAAAATGCGGTAACTGGCTGGCTTTACCGCCCCGCTGCCTGAGCAACGTAGAGGCCAGATAGGTAACAAAGTTTAAAACACACGACTCAGCTGGTGATTGCGATATCATAGACAAGATGCGGAGAGAAGCATGAATACACTAACCATGCCGACTACTTGGACACCTAAGGCTACTCTGGCCGGTGTTGGGCTGGGCCAACTTGCTTTATTGAACAATGGAGGTGCGATGCGTGACTGGAAAGATCAGCAAAACAGCCTCATGCAGCGTATTCTATTTGATTCTTAATAGGAGGATTCTCTATGCTTGGTCACAGTCGAGACATGGCCAACAGTGTACTCATGACTCGCATTTCATTTTGTTCTCAGTCTAAGTCCACGTTTAGCGTACCGCATGGTCTAAAACTAGTCTCCGCATGAGAGCAGTGTGCGTATATAAATAAAACTGTGAGTTGTGTAAGGGTGTGTAAGCTTATGGTGACATTGCAGTGTGAGGAAGCAGACATAAGCATGATAATGTTGGAGGTTTCCTGTATATGTTATTTGCTGTTGTTCCATCTCATTCAAACCTCATGTGTTTTTTTCCCAGGTGCGTAAGCCGTGCGTAAGCTGCACGCAAGCAGCGCGTAAACAACAGTTTCTCTCATGCATCCTAGTCCACGCTGCCAACCAACCAACCAAATCTTCGAGCATCGGAATAAGTTGGGCCACCAGCGGGTCATGTATCTCATCTGATACGAAAGCATGTGCAGAAAACACATAAAGGTAGCAAGATGCCAATTCCCAAGATCTTCCGATGAAATTTATCCATCAAGTTCATCAAGTTCATCATCTGAGTCTTCTCCTTGAAATTCCTTTCAGAAGTTGGTGGGTAAGCTGCAGCTGTGCGGAAATGCAAATTCAAGCAACAATTTGAGCGTAAGCGAAGCAACAGCTCTTCTAAAGCACGCGTAAGCGCAGAGTAAGCAATAGCGTAAGCAGACCCTTAAGACCAGGAATTTAATCAGCTTTTGGCCCACGCTCAAGTGAGGACTGTTGGGAGCCATAGAGTGACAGAACTTGGCAAGCTGCCCTGGGCCCTCTGTGTGCAGGTCATGGAAAAGTGCGACGTTGCCAGGCTGGGTCTGTGATTTGGCGGACGACTGCGGGTTCTGATTCTTGGGCAGGAGTCTCACAGACAAGTTTCGACATCCACCACATCATCATCGCAGCAGATGGCACCGCCGTTGCATCATGATGGTAGCTCAGCTGCGCTGGGTAAAGACCCGAATGGACCATCCTCAAGCTTCACTTATTCGGATGATTCGAAAAGCCGAAAAGCTCATGTTGCGCCAGTGCGCCAGCTGAGGCGGTTCTGATATCGACTAGAACTCATTTGTGTTTCAAGATCTTTGACGAAGCCAAGCTGAAAGGTTAAAGGACCCAGTGCCCAATGTGCACTTGGTTCTTGGGTGTAACTACTACCACACTTGCCACAGAGAAGATTTCCCAGGGATGCCATCTTCCAAGCTTTTTGGCATTTCCTGGCCAATATAGGAAAAACGTGGAAACACAAAACAAAGATGTTCGGCATGGCGTAAGCACGCCTCATTTCTGAGTAGACACTCTAAATTTAGCTGAACCGGGCTCAATCAAGGAGGCTTGGTGGGATCCAAGTGGGAAATCAACAGAGCCTTGGTGAGAAGGAGGTTTCAAGGCAGTAGAGCTCGTGTAGCTCCCAATGCTTCCACTTGATTGCGTGCGAAAGGCACGAAGAGTTTCAAAGTTTCAATCCGACTTGGTTTGCGATCAAAACATGAAGAGATTTTGGGAGCAAGGTGATTCTTGAGATGCCAACTCGGCTATTTTAGAAACATGCTGCAACATGCCCAAATGTGCCCAAATTCATCCAAATACAGATCCAGGAATCAAGGCAGACACACACGTTTTTGAAAGAATAAAGTCCTGCGAAGCAGTTTGGTGACACGAGAGCTTTGAGTCTTGAGAGGAGGATGCTGTTTGATGGTAATTGCAAGCACTGCAAGAGCATATATGAGCGTAGCGTTTTGCGTCCTTCACGGTCTTAACGCTTGACACATTGCTGTTATGCTTGACGAATAGACGAATCGGTTCAAGCCTTCTATCCATGCCCAGCTGTTGCAGCTCAAATTGTACGTGCCACACGGGGCAAAGCAGCAGCCATGGGGCAAAGCTGCTGTTGTGGAAGAGTGAAAGAGGCGCTTACTGTGTGGTGTATGATTATATAGGCTCCCAGCTGTTCGGAATGTTCATCCTTCAGAACAAGCAGTGCTGACCTGTGCTGACAGCAATAGGCAATAGGCATGTCAATACATGGTGCTCCAACATTAATTTCAGTCTCTTTAGTCTTACTAGTAGCTTCAACTTTCGGTGCATTCTGGAAAGACCAAATGTTTTGGAGGAGTGGCCGGAGCCAGAGTTCAGGTGCGGGGGAGTCCAAAGCGCAGGACATGAACTACTTTATTCCACGGGTACTGGACTTTTGTCTCATTGCCAGAGGTGATTCCGGTCAGAGAGTGCACATTGTTGTCGTCAACAGCAGTGCTTGTGGTTTTTGTCGATTTCACGGTCCATGAAAAGGTACTTGCATTGCCAAGGGGAGTAAGGAAATCTCAAACTGTTGAGGTTTATGTAGCTTCTTGCCTGATTCGCTATCATGAATGGACAGGCTTTCCATTTTTCAATATGGAGAGATTGAAATTATTTGTTACCAATTCAAGGTAGCATGTGACGCAGTGACGTAGTGGAAGAGGGAGGGGACAGGGTTTGGACAGCTAACGACGTGTTTGTGACAGAATCGTTTCTTTGGTGCGAACATGTGCAAACTAAGTCGAGGAGCTACACACCTCCCAGACACCCTGGTTGACATGTGCATCAGCAACCCGCAGCCTGTAAGGATGTGGTCCAAGACAGTAAAGCAAAGGCACATTGCATCCGGCGCATTACTTGTGACTGGCATTGTTGCATTTGGCCCTGGGAATTTCCGCCTTTCACGACGTGAGGGATGGCCAGCGCCACAGCGCCATCACGAGTCAGCTGAGCAATTGGCTGCTACTCATCAACGTCAGATAGCCATCCTCTCACAGAAGCTTGAATGATGCTGCCTATGATGAAGCGCGCACAGCCACATTTTTTTGGGTTGTAAATGGCCAACACTTGATCGTACTGCAATAATGGAGCAGCCATAGGGACCGACACTGAATGCCGAATCATTACTTGAATAACAAACAGATACAGTATAAATGGCGCCATGAAGACAAACGGTTGTTTATTTGACGTATGACAAAGATTGAAAAAGTCTAAGTGTCGCTGAACTAGAACTTATAGACAGGAAGGGAAGGGTGCATTTGTTGGAAGTGAAGTGGACACCTTTGAGGATGTGCCCACTCAACTCAAGTAGCTTGCATTTACATTGATGTAGGAATGCGCTTCTAGAAAGTTAATAGTGCCCTGTCAAAAGACGTCTTTTGGGCAAGTGGACACATTTAGATATATAGAGGGAAGGCGGATAAGCACCCGTTGAGGCATAGTATGTAGCTAAACTTAAACAAGCATAAAGATATTGAAAGATGCGTTCAGGAGGTGTAGGTCCTCTCAATTAGAACTTCGTCATGAGTGATGTGCATGGAGTATGGATCCACATTGATTCCAAAGTCGAGTGAAAATTATACAAATTGCCTTAGCAAATAATCTTTACGTTGAGACTTTTGTGACTTTGAATGCAAGTGGTGCCAAGTATGAGCGTAGGCGGCGCTGCACTGTTCAGGTGTCTGTAAAGGGAGCCTGTAGTGGACTTTGTGGAAGTGTTATCCTTGGGTATTCGGAACTGGTGCAGAGACAGTTAGCTCGAAAAGTCCAACCACCAGGCCTTAGTGACACAAGTTGGATTTCGGCCTTCTACCAAGTTCTTTTGAATGACAAGGACATCGGCCTTTGCGCTAAGGAACATGTGGAATTCCTTTTATGCTGGTGGTCCTCAAAGACTGGAAAGGATGCAAGCCTTCAAGGAGTTCATTCAAGAAGCACCTGCAGACATTCTGGTACTGCAAGAGATGTACCTGGGCTCCATTTATTGTTGATTCGGCAAAGCTGTAACGAAAAGAAGGTCCCCTCCTGTCTTCTAGATGCCTCCACTCTTTATCATCTGGAGCCTGCGGGGCCTGCGGAGCCTGCGGAGCGAACAAAGTGAAAGTCGAGCACTTGAATCAGTTTCAAGTTTGGCACTTCATTGCTCGTTTGCGAGAAGATAATCAGGAATGACACACTGTGAAACTATATAGTCTCATCGTATCATCAGAATGCTCGTGCTTTTGAACAAACGGCCTTTCAGATCCAAGGTTTACCTTTGGTCTTGGACCTCTTTGCGAGAAGAGTGAAGCAGAGCTCTTCCAGCAGTGGATGTGGGAGTGTGGGTTTCTATATCAAACGTCTTCCTTGGCCACTGAGCGTCAATGGGCAGAGATCGTCCAGACGGTCCAGCGCACCGTTTTTTTAGGTAAACGTTTCTTTAGTGTCAAACAACATGGACTGGACTCATGTTTGGACCTGAACCTGCTGTGCCGGTGTCTCGGCCCGATCACCCCGAGGGCCCTTGAGCCTGTCCTTTTGAGGAAAAGGTAGCTTGGCGTTGCGGCATTTCATGGTAGCGGAGCCGCGGTGACGACCGTGGCTCCGGACGTGCTGGACTTGAGGCGGGGGACGCCCCGCCACCAAGGACAGTTTTTCGTCTTCGACCTCCTCGTGTTCTTCGCCCTGATACGGACTGACGTCCGGAGGATCCTTTGGGAGCCCAACCTTTGCTTCGCCCGAGCTACATCCTAGCGGTTTTCGATTACCCGAGCAACTACTGCTTGGACTTCCCCTTGTCCTTGAGGACGAGCGTAACCTGACCCTCAGGTGAAGATGAGCCGACCTCTTCGAGAGTTTTGGAGAGGTGGAGTTGGTGCCACTTCAACTGGCTTGGGAGGTACTCCATCGCCGACACCTCCCACAGCGTCTCCCCGGAGATCTCCGACGGCGCCTCAACCTCCAGGTGGTTCACGACTTTTCGGACTACCTGAAGACGGCGATCAGGAACCCCCTGGATCCGGCGATCATGAACCCCCTCATTTACCAGATCCTTGGGCAGCGGCTGCTTCCGCACCAGCGGAACATCCCAGGTCACCGACCCGGGCCGTTGGTGGAATGACACCGAAGGCTGATGCAGCCTCGCCCAATCAAGAGAAGAAGTATGTCGACTACAAGATCGATCCGGCTCCAGTTTGGGGTGGTGATGACCCCGAGCGGAACTACAAAGAGTTGCAACGGAACCTGCAATTGTGGTTGGTGGAGGCTGAAGCCCGACTTCCTCCTGGGCTCATTGGAAAGCGCATCATCGATAGCATTCCTCTTGGCTCACGCCTCAGCGCTTTGCTAGCCCACTTGACCGTCGACAAGATCACCTCCGACACTGGCCACAAGCAGATCGTGAGCATCATCGAGAGTGCTCACGAGTATTTGAAAGACCACCGCCTGGAACAGGCCTTTGAAGATGCCATCTTCAAGGGTCGACGTGATCGTGGGATGAGCCTCACCATGTTCCTCACGAACAAGAACGCGGCATTCGCCGAATTGAGAAAGCAAGGTTTGGACCTCCTTGCAACAGCAGCAGGTCGCCATTTGCTTGGCCACCTCATCTTGCGCCAAGGTGGATTCAGCCAAGACCAGAAACAAAGGCTGAAGGTGGTCACGAACGGATCCATCGACTTCAGAGACCTGGAAAGCGCCATCCAGAAGGTGTTCGGCGACAAGCTTGATGAACAGGCAGGCCCATGAGACGCCTGGACCACATCGTCGATGGAGGAGCGCCACCTACTTCGATGAGGATGGCTATGAGCATGAGATCGACGAGGACCAGGTCTTTGAGAATGACTTGGATGATGGCGACTTCATCCTGGAAGACCTCATTTGCCTCAACGATGATGGCAGTGAGGCCCAGTTGATCTTCCACCAAGAGCTTCCTGTGGTCATGGACGAGCAGGAGGCCATGGACAATGTCTGCGAAGGCTTGGAGGAGGTGTTTTATGAAGCTCACCAACGGCTACAACATCTTGGCCGTGGAAAGGGCAAAGGCAAGAAAGGCAAGGGTGGCAAGTTCAAGCATTCCTCCAAGACCTACAATGCCAACACCCCTGGTTTTGGCCGTGGTGGATACCTCGAACATCGACGGCTACTTCAAGCCACCCGGAATGGACGCGGTTATGACAAGCCGTGGCAACAGCGGCAAGGCCCACGACTGAGCTTGAATGAGATCAAGGCAAAATCACGATGCCAACGCTGCAAACAAGTCGGCCATTGGAGCAGGGAATGCCCACAGCAACGCTCTGGACCTGGAAAACCAGGAGCTTCAGCTGCTGGAACGACAGCAGGCTTCTTTCTTTCGCCACCGGCAACAAGCTGGAGTGGACAGTTTCTCACCATGAACGACATGGCACCTCACGCCAGTGAAGAATACATGGTGCGCTTTGCCGGGTTGAGCTTTGTTTTCCATGGTTCAGTGGCCCACGAAGGAATTGCACTTGTTGATACTGCAGCCCAACACGGTTTGATCGGCTACAACACCCTCCAAAGACATGATCGTTTGCTTCAGGAACGCCATGGGGTACAAGTACAGTGGACCAATGAACACGGTGGTTCGGTTCGTGGTGTTTGCGGTCAAGAGGAGTCCACACAGATCTGCTACATCCCCATTGGCCTTGGAGGGAAGAGTGGTATTTTGAGGGTTCAAGTGATTCCTGGTGACATCCCTATGCTCCTTCCGGCTTACCTGTTGACCGACCTCGAAGCCGTCATCGACATGAAGCGTTGCGCGATCATGTTCATGAAGATTGGTGTTTGTTTGTCAATGACGAGGCAGCCAACAGGTCATGTTTCAGTGAATGTTTGTGATTTTGGAGATCGTGGACTCGTGGATTTCATGTGCCTGCTCACTACGCCTTTTCCAACAGTCAAGTGTGGTCCCCGGAGGCCATTCCCGACTGGGCCACACTCGACCACCTCCCGGATGGGCAAGCCATGCCTTTCTCTGGCCCGTTGGCGGCGCTTGCTGCTGCGGCTCTACACCTTCATTTCCCTGCAGGCCCATCAATGCATGCTGGAGGTCTGCCGATCCCCGCAGTTCCGACAGGTCAGACGTTTGCAACAGCAGCGGGAGCGACTGGAGCAGAAGGTGTATGCCCTCCAGCAGGCCGAGCAGAAGATGACTGCAGAGGCAGCGGCATCCACGGAGACACCAACCGGGACTTTGAACATCTCCCGAGACGAGTTCCGACATCGTCCACTGGCATGCATCAAGGGCCGTGGCAAATATCTGGTCCCTGTGCTGGAGCCAAGTCCTCATTGCCAGCACAAGGAGACGAAGCATGGAGCAAACAAGTACCTCACTTGGACGAAGTGCACCAAGTGTCAACAGGACCAGAAAATGCCACTCACGACCCTCGATCAGCTTCAAGCCTGGAACGAGCGCCTGGTCTAATACATGGAGATGCCATGGGACGACCTTCTCAAGGAGGAGGCCAAGGCAGCCAAGGAGAACAAGATCACCTTCATGAAGAAGCTGGGAGCTACCGCACCGTCAAGACCGATGAGAAGCACTCCCAAAGCTCGAGCTACCGCCACCAAGAGCAAGGCACAGCCAGCTGTGGCACCCTCAGCGTCGAGCTGGACTCAGGTCAAGCAGGAGGAGATCCTCAGCCCCGACAGCTCCGAGGTACCCTGGGAGATGATGACCCAGGATGTGGACAGGCGCCAGATGATGGACGAAGCCCTATCTCAGAGCTGCGACACCTGTCGCGTGGGAGAAGTCACCTTGGTTCGCCACCGGAACTCCGGGAGCCTGGTTTGGAAGTGCGACAACCCTCGTGCGACTTCTACTTCGGCACCCTGAAGGACGAGCTGATCGAAGCGAAGGGAGTTTTCTTGTGTCCCCAATGCCAGTCACACGGGATGATGATGACTCACAGGTGTCCCCGGAGCAAGAGGAGACGGAGATGCATTGCATGAACATCAGCTGCAACGTGGCCATGTTCTTCAACGAGCTGATTCATGCCTGTGCCCGGATGGGACACTTCCGACAGGACGCTCTGGTGCCGAGTGCCTGATTGGCAGTTGGTGGATGACTCAGCCACCTATGGATGTTCGCCTGCCTGACAGCTTCTACGACATCGTCGACGCCCTGGGCATTGTTCAGCAAAATACCTATGTAGCCGCCGGATGTGGTGAATGTGTGAGTGGACACTCTCCGGTCGTGACACTGCCGATTTGTACCAAGAAGGTCATTTTGACCTGCGATGATGGTTTGTGGAATGCAGTTTGCTGCACTACGACGCCTGGAGATGTGTACCACTTGTGCAAAGCCCTATGAACTACATCGTCTTGTATGAGTTCGATCCTGAGTTCCTCGATTACATGATCGATGCTGAATATGAGAAGGAACTCGCAATGCCCAAGAACATCAAGACGGAGCTGAACAATAGCCTGGATGAATTGCTTGGAGAGCAGAGCACCTACTGGACCTTTTGGTCTGAGGAGGCGGATGATGTTGCAGAGATCTTCGGCAGCCTGGACTCCAACAACGACGTTGTCGCCGAGATCTACTCACCACCAAGATTGGTGGCTGAAGCCAGGAAACGAGGACTGAAAGCCGAGATGTCCATCGACCTGGTGACTGGCACAGACCTTCGAGATCCAGCTGCTCGGCAAGAAATTCGAAACCAGCTTCAACGTCGACGACCTCGACTGCTGGTGGTGTCACCTCCGTGCACCAAGTTCAGCCAGATGCAAAATCTGAGACCTCATCCTGAACTACTTGAACAAGAACTCCCCGAGGCTCAGCTGCATCTGGACTTCTCAATGGAATTGCTCATGGACCAATTGGACCGACGAGACCATGGGCTACATGAACACCCTGACACTGCCACCAGCTGGCAGTTGAAGTCTGTGCAGCGCTATCTTCAGCGCGATGAGCTGCTACTTGTGAAATCGCACCTGTGCCGTTTTGGCCTCAAGATCAAAGATCGCCTAGCTCGGAAGTCAACCTTGTTTGCCACGACCTCCGACCACATAGCCACCAGACTGCAGCGTCTTTGCAAATGTGAACAACCTCACCAACACCTTGAAGGAGGACTTCCTCGTTTGGCTCAGGCCTATCCTCCCGCTCTGGTGTCAGCTATGTTGGATGGTTTATTGGCAGAATGGTCGGACAACCAACGTGGACGACCTCAACATCTACCAGGACGTGCAGACTTCGAGCAATGGGCAGTGCATCTTTCCCGACAAGAACGGTTTAGCTGGCACCGCTTTCATGATTCAGCCATTTTGGCTATGTTGGAACCTGCCACCATTCCTGCAAGTGGACCTGGCCACCGGAAACTCCGTTGGACATGGGTTCGCAATGTTTG